ATATGAAGGCTGACACATTTGCCAGGGCTGACGGGTGAGCCAAACATGTGCCATGAAACACTAGCAGGAGGCACATGATTATGTCACATACCTTTCGTATCTTCTGAAAAATAAGTCTTAGCCAAACTAAAGCAAAGTTTATTTTTCATCTTTACCTTTCCATCTAGTTGAAAACCTCCTTCAGATTACCCCACCTATACTTTCATAAAGAAGGAAAAGATTTGTTTTTGGACATTTTACTAATAAGGTGAGTTGGTCAAAGTGGCCAGTCCTGAAAAAGGGCCTTACACAAAGTTACTACATGTACAAAAATATTTTACATGCACTTACATATACTTATTATGTATTTACTAGCTAAAACATAATCTCATGTAAGTCTTGCCAATAAGATATTATAAAGAAAAAACATTTCACTCTTGTCCACAGATTGTAGAAAAAGCTTTGATGTGCAATATATGTCCTACACAGAGTAGGGACTTCGGCCATTAGATCCTAACATTTGTATCCATCACACACACACAGGGTCACATTTCAAGACTGTGGAAACATCCATAAACAGAGATTTTAGACTTTTCACTTTAAACAATTAGTATTTGAAGATCCATTGTATTCCTTAGGGTGAGATGTTCATGTCTTTTTCTGAGGTCCTGCACATTAGAATAAAGTAGAATTACTTTTCTGCTAATCCCAAAATGCAATTGATTTCTTAATACATGGCTCATGAAACTGATTCAAATTTTTATAATGAGCACTAGTATAATCTTAATAATATGGAATGTTTCCAATACCATTATAACTTAAGAGAGCTATACTTTTTCATGATGCAGTTCAAAAATACTGTCTGTCCTCTATTGCTGTAAATTTTGAGAAAAATCTACAAGCCACATCAATGGCTTCACAAGTGCCATAAATTTATAACTGGTTCTCATAAAAGAGTTGCTGTATACATCAGCTGCTAAACCACACAATTCTCAGGTGCACCTGGGCACCTGGGAGCTGAAGCTCAATGCCACTCTCAGGGGACATCCTCCCTGGCTTCTGTGCAGTGCCATAGCCTTTCTCCAGCCCCTGGGCCTGGCACAGGGCACAAACAGCTAGGGAGAGACAGCAGATTTGTCCATCTATGATTCCAAAGTAGGAAAGAAACACAATGCTGTTCTGGGAATGAGGTCTTTTGCACAGGATTAATTCCAAACAGATATCAAATTAAAGAATATATTACATGAAATGTGAGATTTGACTGGTTTCACTAGCCTAATCCTGAAATATAGCCAAGAGTAGAATGACTTTCCACATAAGAAACTGAAGGATGAATTCTGTAACTGACATGGTCCTGCAGAACTCTGTTCATCCTCATCCTGGCATAGGTGTACATCTGAATCATGCCCTTACAGGGAACCAAAGTCAAACAGCACAAGGGCTTCAGGGATTAAATATTTATTCTGGATATTGGCATTATTCCTGGCACAGTCACCAGCCCAATTCACCCATTAACATCTCAGTTTTATCATAAAACTGGCAATAGTCAGTACTCAACTGTGGGCATCACAAAGCCCAGCTATCACCCTTTTTTTCCCTTTTTTTTTTCCAGTGAACAGCCTCAGATCTGCCACAAAGAAGACTCTGCATTTCTACCTGATGTTCTCCATTTCTAGAAAAAGGATAATTGAAAAAGATGACCCCTTCATCCTACTCCTAAAATTTTTCAGATGTGAAATGTAGTCCTTACTCTAGAAACCCAATTCTTCAGAAGTGCCAGTTTAATAAATAATGTCAAATCTGAAGTAGGCTGGGTGAATCTCACCCTTACAGAGCACCTACAGAGCACCTCATTCCCATTTCATCTATTGTGGCCCCAAAGGATGTCTAACACAAGGCCATCCCAAGCTCACTGATCTATTTTGCTGCTCACTGCTAAGTTAATGGGGAGGCATGGCAGGAACACACATGCTCCAGCTCCTGCTGCATAGCTCTGGGAAGCCTGAAGGTAGGACAAGGAGCCAGACCACAGAAGCAGCTGCTTCCCAGAGGAACAATTCCAACATGGATACTCTTTCCCAGAAAGGAAAGGGAGTGGAGAAGGGCAAAAAGTCAGAAGGGAATTTCCCCTGCACTGGAATTTTCTCTCCATGAAGAGGAATACAAGTACAGAGCCTACAGGCACAACTCACAGGATCTTGCAAGTTTGCCTTATACAAACAGCAACCATCTTTTTAACATTTAATAACAATCTAACAATATAGAAAAACTAGGTTTTATGGGAGTTTCTTGTTTGCAAATTGATATTTTATAGAGTCTTGCTGAATTGTGATTCCCATTAACTGAAACAGACAATAGAAAAATCATTGCATCAACATATTATTGTATTTTCTTGGTATATCGATGAACTATTCTTCAAAGCATTTTATTAATTTTTTCAGATGAGCAAACAACACAAGCCCTTTGTAATTTGTGCTTCTATATAAATATGCTTGTAGATACTTAAATAACACAGTCATAAATTTATTTTCTCTTACGTTGCATGTGTCATGAACACTTGCCTACATGAACAACAAGAATGCCAAAAAATCTCCCAAGTCTGGCCAGAAGTGCAGTATTTATACTTGAATTAAAATTAATTCCATGTGCAAGCTAGAGTAGCACTCCATCAATAAAACATTTCAACCACTGTCTGTGGTATGGCACTGAGGCATCTCTTTTCAGCTTTATCTGACACTAGGGAGTTCCTGCGTTATGCAGCTAAGAATGAACATGGAACTATTTTCACAGAACTATTTTATCTTCAAATACTTAGTTTAATTTATAACTAACTTAAAGAACTATTGGAAGACTCAGGTGTGCATGAATATGTAAAGAAGTATAAATTTGAATTTTCACAACAAAACTTTTTCATGTTATTGAAGTTTATATTATAAACTTCTTAATGGGTACTCACTGTCTGATCAAAAATGCTGCCTTGTCATTTCCTAGTTCTAAACCATTACGTAATTTTGTTTGTTGATAACTGGAACAAAATGAAGTCAATTTCTAAAACAGAGGTGCATGAAAAACATGCTTTCCTATTTGTCATTCTCACTCTTCTTTCAGAATGGTTTTATGCAAATGTAGATATGAATTTCAATACTGATTTAAGTTCAATACTAAAATCTAAACCCAACTATATGAAGGATCGAGAGAGGAAAGGGAGTTTGAGAATTAAGTAATCAGGAGAGAAGATTTTTGTCAGCAAAGAGGGTAGTACCTAAATGGGCCAATTAAAAGATTAGTAGGAATGCATCAACAGTAATGAATTTCAAGTATGTTCTCCAGGAAGACCTTGGGTCTTTACTAAAAAGTAGCATGCTTGTTTCTCTGAGCTCTCTGAAAAGTACAGAGTTGCTTCATAACACGGAGAGAAGCAAGCTATTAACAAACTGAAAGGTTTGAAAGCATCCTGTTGAACTGCAATAACACATGAGTAGGAAGAATTCTATAATACAAAATGTGTACATGCTGTGTTCAGTATTAGGAAGAGCCAAGCAAGTTACATGCTCAAAGTTACATTTGCAAAGGGTTATTTTGCCATAGCCAAAATGACAAAAATACACAGGTCCAACCTAGAAAAGATAAATGTAGATGGGCTTGCATTATCCATGTTTGTCTGTGTCTCTTTGCTAGGTCCACTAGCAAGGCCCCCCAGACATGAACTGAAAACAAGCAGTGTGAGTACTCTGAATACATTTTAAAAGACTGAGTTACTCTTCTACAGTACTTAAAAGGACTGTGAGGAGTCCAGACTTTGCTTATTCCTCACAAGTAATTAACTGTAGAATCAATCATACAATCATAAAGGTTGGAAAAGATCTTCAGGATCATCAAGTCCAACCTTTGACTGAGCACAGCCACGTCAACTAAACCACAGTACCAAGGGCCACATCCAGTCATTCCTTGAACACTTCCCCAGATGGTGACTCCACTGTTGTGGTAACTTCCCTGGGCAGCCTGTTTCAAAGCTGAACCACCCTTTCAGTGAAAAATTCTTCCTGGTGTCCAGCCTGAATGCCCCTTGGCACATCTTGAGGCCATGTCCTCTTGTCCCATCTCTGGTTGCCTGGGAGAAGAGGCTGACCCCCCCCCCGGCTACAACCTCCTTTGAACCAGTTGGAAGGAGTGATGAGCTCACCCCTGAGCCTCCTTCTGTCCAGGCTAAATAAGCCCAGCTCCCTCAGCTGCTCCTCATATGACTTGCCCTTTCTGGTGCACCAAAAGCCAAACCATCGTTTCATCTGTCGGATGTGCATTCTCTGTAGTTGCACTCAAAAAAATAAATAAGCCAGTGCTTTTATTAGCAACTTAACAGAACATAAATTCCAGTACGAACTTGTAAAGGAACTTCTCCTGAGGGAAAAACATAATTAGAATTTTCCAGAATAGTACAGGGTTGTTGGGGTTTTGATCTGTTTCAGACATATTCAGAATTCTAACTATCTATATTTATAGGTTCCAAAAGATTTTCAACAAGTCTGTGTAAAAACATTTTCTTGGTTTGTTTTAGAAGATGCCTGTTTATCATACATTTTCCTGTCCACTAAAGCATCTATCCAGACACAAGACCATGTTAGAATTATTTCAGACCTGCATTAATCACAGTTGATGAAAGACTTTAGGCAACTATTCAGTTTTAATAAAAACTCTTGAAAGTTATTATCCACATAAAGAAATCTCTTGGAAAGTTTCGTACAAAAAGCAAAACAGAAACCCAATAATTAATAAAGTGATTATGCCATCTTACATTTTAAATAACACTGAACAGATGGTTTAATCTAAAGGGCTATATAAGCCAAAACCAGCAGATTAAAAAGAAAGTGCGTGATAGGAAAGTCCACAGTTCCAGGATTTGAAAATACTACACCACAGGGCTATACTAAAGTATAATGAAAGAGGAAAGGATAAGGAACTGGTCTGGTCTCCTCAAATGTAACTATTTTTAGTTTTTACACAATTTATCAACGCTTACTCACTTTTACATATTTTGCAAGTTTTTGAATTCCCCAGTATTCTGCTGACAAATCGCTGCCTCCTTCCTGACGACGTACAGGGTGTTCATCCTCATCAGTCTCTGAGGAACTTTCACTATCCTCAAGGCTGATTGATGCTTTACTGAAAATAAATAAACAGAATCACCAATTTCAAATAGTTATAAACTATGATATGGACAAGCATATTTCAAACAGGTATGACAACACAGCCTAATAACTAGAAAAATTCAACTAATATTACCAAATGGTAAGTATAGTGATAATTACTGTACATAGGAAAAATAAAAATTGAAAAATTGAGGAAGGAAAAATAAGTCATCCATACCATTTTGAAGTTTCTTGAATTTTAACCGATTTAGATTTGCCACTGGCTTTCTTTTTTGCAGTCAGAGATCCAGCTCTACTTTTTCCTTCTCCTTCAGAGTATTTTTTTCGAACCTTGTCACCACTGGATTTGGGTTTATTTAAAAAAAAAAAAAAAAACAAACAGAATTTTTTTTCCAGAATATTCTTCAGCATACTGTGATTTAGAAAACTCCTGATTATCCATGCATTAACAGTTTTGAATGGATGAAGAATTCAATAAAGGTCTCTGGTTGAATCTTGAACTCACATAAACAAATGAATTTACTATATTCTGGCAAAGAATGTGAGTGCTTGGCTATGTGGCATATGAAGGCATCTCTCCCTTTGTTCTGAACGATCTCACTGGCTCATTTTAATTTGATGCCCTTATTTTTGTCCTAGAACAGACAGTGACTATCTGTTTCCTATCTACCATCCCCAGACATGAGTTTCTGTATCTTTCTTCTTCCCCTCTAGTCATCTTATTTCCAGGCAGTTTGGTCTGCCTAATTCTTCCACACACTTAGATGTTCCACAGCTTTGATCATGCTGAATACAGCATATATTACTTTCCTCATATTCCAAAAAACTCCTACTTTCAACTGGCCACAATCTCTGGTCCTTTTTTGTCCCAAAATAACAATGTTGTGAAAACAAAATGTATTTTTGAGCCTGAGTTAGTCACTTTATCACAGTCACAAGAAAAAAGAGAATATTACTTATGATTGCAGTCAATTTCACTACACTAAGTCTTCATCAGTAACTGTGGAAAAAGGTTAGCTCTTGCTTTGGAAAGCCAATTTCTTTCTAATTGATAACCATAAGTCACATCCAACATCTCTTAAAATGTTTCTTGCAACTTATTAAATTGGTAGACTTGAGAAAGATACTATTTTTTGTAGGATGGCATTGAAAGGCTTTTCTGCAGATATTCTTCTTCCTTCACTTACACATAATCAGGAAACATGAAATCAAAAGAGAGGACTATTTCCAGAAGACAAATCCAACAATATACAATATATGTACACTCTCTTTTGAGTGTTCAGACTTTGAGATAATCTCATCAGTGAATATCCTTGCTAAGCAGAGCTAGAGAAATAGCTCATATAATACAAAATCAAGTGGCAGCAACAAGAGTCATTCTGATTTTCCACCCAGAACCTCTTTTGCCTCGTTCAGAAAGTGTGGTTTAGACCAGGTTTGCTAATCAGTCTTGCTTAAAAGGCATTTTACACCAAAAAATATGATGATATCACAGTCCTGGAGAACCAGTACTGCAGATGATACCAAGTTCCTTCTCTGCCTTGCTGTGGAAATGATGTCACAACATCAAAGTTGTCACACGACAGAAAAAAACCTGAGAATTCTCTTTGGTAGTCCAAACTCTCTCCTTGGAAATTAACATATAGTTGGCTTTGTTTTATTCCTCCTAAATTAAGACAATAATGGAAACGTGTAACATGCATCCCCATCATTAGCACAGTTTAGATACCTCTAAAGGCAAATTCAATTTTAAAGAAAATTACTTACCTTTGGGAAGCAGAAATCCCACTGCTCTTCCACTTCATATGTGGTTTTGACCTCTGGTCAGTGGGTCCTGTTGAACAAGTTTTCCCTTTCTCACATTCAGTCTTTTCTGTAAGATTATGAAGGCTCTGTGATTGGCCAGAAATCTCAGCACCTTCCACATGCTGATTCTTCTTGTGTGCTGGTTCTTTAGACATACTAGATTCCTAGTAAAAGGAGACATGTTTTTTCACTCATATTGCTACATGAATATGAATATTAAACCAGTAAGTCATAAGCAAAATTCTAGGACTCTGTGCTTAAAAATTGCACGCATTAAATGTAGAATAAGATTCTAAGCACAAAATTATATTGTCCTTAAAAGAACAAAACATTAATTCGAAAAGTAGCAGTTATCATATGCAAATTGAGGTTTTTTACGTAAATCAAGTCAATAAATTTAGAATTTCAGGGAAATCTTTGAATATTTGGTGTTGTTTGATTTTTAATATGTCAAAAATCTGTAACATAAGCACTTTTATAGAACCTAGATCCAAATGAATTTTAAGATTTAGACATGCAAAGTCAGCCTTCTGCTTTCAATGGAACACTTACATTAAAACTATTTCCCTGCATAAAGGATTTACAAAAAATTCCCACAAAAAAAGTAATGAACATAAAACTGAAAATAGACTATCATAAACTGCTAGACTTCAGTTCCAAGTAATTTAATTTGATATAGTTTAGAATTAATATAAACACATTCCATTTCATTTTTTTTATCTTCTGTCTCTCAGGACAAAACAGTGTTAACAAGTCACATACAAGAATGGAGCTGAGTGGCACCTACCAATCCTTCAGCTGTCAGTGTCTAGTACCATGGCTAATCAATAATATACAGAACAGAAAAGACTCTTGTCAACTCTCACTCTCTATTGGAACACACTCAATTTTTACAGGAAAGTCAGCATATGATCGTTACTTGTTATTATTATTGTTGTTATTGCAGCTGTCAGTCCCAGATAGGTGAAGACATTCCTTTGTGTGCCTGATTCAAGGCAGTTTAAGGAGACTGTCACAGCAGGCTCTGTTTTCCACTGGTCCCTGATGAGAATCGGCTGTTGAAGCCTTGCCAACTCAAGTGTCTAATTCCAAACTAACTCATGCTAATGCTCTCATTCTGAAAATGTACTCCAGACAAGACAATTTAGCACATGATAAACGAGATAAATCACAGGGGAATTGGTGCTGCAGCTTGATCAGTTAAGCATACTTTAAAAGGCATGTTTGCTACAGCACTATATGCCAACACAGCAATTCTGAACGTTAGCTTAAACAAGGCCAGGCAGATATTATAAAAGTTAATTGGTTTTGCAATATATGTGTATGTAATGAGCTTTTTGAAGCTCTCCTCTCCTCAGAAAATAAATCAAAACTATTTCCACTCATATTTTACTTCATTTAGTCAAACTTGGAAATACAGCTTTTCTCTGCATTTCATAGTTCTAGAGCAGAGAAGGTTTTCCCACAGGTACAAATGTTCTGCAGCTCTATGATATTAACTTGTTTAAATTCCAGTCATTGAAAGCAGAATGTACTATACCAGCTCTTCAGCAAGGCAAGATGATATGAAAATTCCAAAATCATTAAAAAGGTATAATGCACACTCTTCTGCATAAACTAATTTACACAGCCACGGAACAATGAGTGTATGTTTTACATGAAAATTGAAGGAAAAACGGGGTAAGTTCTGTTTATTTGCTCTAATTTAATGTGTGTCTTATTAAGTGTAACTTTAAAAGTTACAATATATTCATAACGGCAGAAAAGTAGTAAATAAAGTCATGTTATCATCAATAGTAACATTATTCTATATCAACATTTGGGATTACATCTGAAAAAGTAGTAAAATGTGACCACATTTTGCCTCTCATGATCATCAAATTAAGCCAAGTCACTGCAAATAAATTAAACCAATGTCTCAAAACATTCATATGTTGTCCTATTTATGAAGTGTAAACCAATGTGTAGGCATAACATTAAAACAATACTTGCCTATGAGATAAATAAAGATTTTGGAACTTAATACATTTTCAAAGAGAACAGCTCACAATTCTGATTCCAATATTGTTAATGTAAGCTAATGTGTATAGGTGTATTACTTGGAATGCTCTGTTCTTTCAAAATTGTCTAATATCTGTATCTTAAAAAAATAAGTATCAGCCCTACATCCCAGAAAATCAGAACTAGAGGATAAGGAAACTTCACTGTTAATTACTTCCTTCTTTCAATAATTAAAATTGCATGTAAATAACCACAATGAAACTCTTGACAGGTTTTGGCCTGTGAGGATTTTACCTCCAAGTAATCTGTTAAAACCACACTAGAAATCTAAAAAATAATTAGTTTTATCAGGAACAAGGAAACAACTAAAATTGTACTGGTACTGTGTGATTCTAGCTAATACAGAGCTCTAAATAAAAACCAAACCACTTGCATTTTACAGTGTCTGAATCAAGATAAAGTGTGTAAGCTTAACTTAACTCTCAGCTCTGATATTTAAATCAGGCAGTTCTCATAAGAAAGTTGGGCAATTATTTATGTTTGGGTTACGAAGAATGAAAATAAAAAATTAAGTGGTTTTCGTCACAGAAAAATACTGTAATAAAAAGCTGACCTTTTCCATACAGATATCACATTTTCCTGCTTTAATGTTTCCACTGCTCCATAAAGAACAAGACCAGAAGACAGACAAAACATTTCATGCAAAACTAGAAGCTGACCTCACATGTTGGATCAAACCCCATCAAAACCTATGATAGAGCAACACATGAAATGTGCACTACTTGCTGTTTACAAAAGAAACATATTTTTTTAAAACTAAAACTTGAAAAGCACTCCAGTCTTCAAAATTCTTCATTTAATCATAGATTTATCTTTGATAAAAAACATAAGTGTTCAGCCAGGTTTACAATGTAGTTCTTACCAATGTACATTTGCACAAAGAAGTACACCAAGTTACAGCAAATACATACCTGTTTGGCCATATTTTCCACAAATCTAGGCGATCACCCCTTAAAAATGTGACTATGTCTTTATACAGATCACTTTTTCTTTCATAGTCAGTATCTTTACACTTTAGCTGACCCTTAAAAAAAGAATACATTTAAAATTGTTAATAGTTATGCCTTACACAGGTAATTTAATCTGCATCATAAAATAGTGCAAAAGAGCACCAAGGTCATATTGTAATGAATTAGATAAAGAAGTCTCATGCTCAGCAAAGTTGACCAAACTTCAAAAATGCATCTTAAAGATGCATGGATCATCTCCATGGACCCCAACAGATGATCAAGACCTTATACAGGATTTTGCAGGCGATAACCATCAGTTATCAGTACCCCGGGTAGTTCCACTGAAAAGAATTTATGGTTTATGGGAAATAATCAAGTAAATATGAGCTTCGTGTGCAGTATGGCAGATGTCTAAAAGGCACAGAAAATAACATGACATGGCTGCCTGAGCTTTATGAGCTTCATGTATTAAAAATGTGCCAAGTCAAAATTTCCCTGGATTTTTCAACTCTTAGGAAATCAGTTTGCGGAGTTAGGCCTGACAGACCCAGTCTCTCTTCAAAATGAATGTAAGAGCTCTGGTCACTACTTAACACATGTAAGGGTCCAAACAAAACCCATCCAAGAGGACGAAAGGAGCCAAAATGAAAAGGAGAAAAGAAAGCAGTAATTCCTAAAAAGCTTCTTCTGAAAGAAGGAACTCCTTATCATTTATAAAAAGACCAATGCAAGCTCTACTAGCCCCACATAATAATACAGCACCTCAGATCAAGAGCAATGAGGCACTGGAGAGGCATCCACAAAGGTACCCACAGGACCTTTACACAGGAATAGTTGAAGAACTTTTATTTAAAGACGAATCAGTGCTTAGCAGTGTCACCTGAGCCCACCTTGGCAAGGAGACCCTGTCACTAACCGAGCTCTCAAACGGTCAAATACGCTATGGCTGCTATGATTTGAAATAAACCTATCTAGGAATGAATAGGTTCTTTTAACTCATTTAAATCCCTGAAGAGGGGAAGGGCGACCTTATGAAGATAACTTGCAAATTTTAAAGAAATGGGGAAATCAGGTGCAAACACTGATTATTTACCGCTACTATTAGAAATTCTGGCAGCCGACAGCAGGAGGCCTCTACTGAGGCTGCAGCAGAAGGATCCTCCTGTTCAAAGCCCCCAGTGCAGGGGGACATACACGGCCCCATGGCCCCCCGAGGCTGGAGCAAAAGGATCCCCCTGTTCAAAGCCCCCTGTGCGGGGGGACAGACACGGCCCCATGCCCCCCCCGAGGCTGGAGCAAAGGGATCCCGCTGTTCAAAGCCCCCTGTGCAGGCGGACAGACACGGCTCCATGGCCCCCCGAAGCTGGAGCAAAGGGATCCCCCTGTTCAAAGCCCCCTGTGCAGGCCGACAGACACGGCCCCATGGCCCCCGGCGCTGTCCCCGAATGGCGGACACAGAGGGCCAGCCCGGCCGGCCCAGCCGAGGCAGACCGAGGGGAGGCCGAGTGCGGCGGGCCCGGGGCGGCCTCGGCCGTGTTGGCAGCGCGGGGCAGGGTCAGGGCTGGGAGCGGGAGGGAGCTGGGAGCCGAGGCCCCGGAGCAGGGACACAGCGGTGCCCGGGGATCGCACGCAGCCCGCCCCATGTCCGGCCCTCACCTCGGCCCGGGCCGGCAGCGCCTCGCCCCGCCATGGCCGGTGGCGTTGCCGTGGGGACGGGCCGGCGTTACCGGGACAGCGGGAGCAGCCGCAGCCCCGGCCGGCATTCCTCGTCGGCAGGGAAGGGGAGTGACATTTGAACTCGTCACGCGGGCTCTGTGCCCTCGGTGTAGAGTGAAATAATGCAGTAATTAGAGTTACCTTGCACCAGAGGCTAAAGGAAGAGCACCCAACGGTTTTTAGCTTGAATTTTAGCCAGTACAGCTGAAACCTTTCCCTGGCGGTCAGCGGTTACAGGAAAACAGCTTTAATTAATAAAGGTTAAGATTGACCACTTCTAGTTCTTGAGGCAGTGTGACAGATCGTGCTTGAAACGCTTATTGTTAAAGGAAATGTAATGTATAATTTATGTTTGTTGAAGGAAGTCAAAGAAATAGGTATGGGCAGTGCTAGTGAATAAACTCCTTTCACATACTGAGGACAACACAGCACTGTACATGCACAAATAGACAGCCCCAAACACAGAATGGAAATCTACACTGTTCCCCAAATGCTATCATCAATCCATATGTTGTTGAATGAGCCATTGCTTTGGATAATTTTTTGTTACAAAGCTCCTACTGAACTCATGCATTATCTCTTCTTTTGTACCACTGAGCCAAAAAGAATTATATTGTCTGACTTCCCACTTGTAAATTACCTCTGCATTTCTGCTATTTGTTACCTCTGCAGTTCTGCTATTTGTCTCCATCAAAATCCCTATCAGATGATGAAAATTTGATTTAGATTTGACTGGGGAAGGAATGGCTACTTGGTGTACGCTGACTGAAGTTAGGAAGCTCTGTCAGCACTGCAGTGGATGTGTCCTTCTGAAGGCTCAGGAAAATAATCCTTTTGAGGACAGTCCAGCAGAAGCACACAGCTTCCAACACCACAGAGTCAACATAGCCAAGAGTTATTTTACCAGCTGAGAAATCAGCTGGGTAAGAAACTTCTAATGGTGAGGAAGGTCATGGGATGTATGTGGGGTATATCTCAAAGAATAACAGTATAATATACTGTTCAGTAATATACACTTTTTTGCATGAGATGATTGTCCATATAGATTTTACTTACCAAAACTTTCAAGCACTAGCTATGTATAAGTACATGCAGTCTGCACAGTAATCGTTTAAGAATAGCATTGGCTTTTTTTGCTTTCCTTGTTTAACTTAGAGAAGATAGAAAATTACTAATTTTATTAGATTAAACAGAAAGAGATTTTTTTTAGTTAAAAGCCTGGTTAAACACTTAATGCAATTTCTTTTCTGTGTATGTATGAATACTATGTATGAATGCATTTCCAGAAGGGATTAAATCTCTTCATTTTACTGAAGCAATGACTCTTTAAAAATTGATTTTGAGGGCAGAAGGTGCAAGAAACAAAATGTGAAAGGGAATAAAAGTCATGGGTGGTGGGGAGTGAAGACAGTGAGTTTTCACACAGAGCTGAGTATTTTAAGCAAGAAGTCGGTGGAGTAAGAAATAGAATTCCTAAATGAGATCACTCTCTTCCACTGAACTGCAAGAAGAAAAGATATTTCAATGGCAGAGATAAATGGGATGGTGTGCCCTCAAAGGCTGTGCTTCTCCACTGGCCATAAAAGGAGCTTTGGTAACTGGCTCAGGTTTAGCTTGCAGTGGAACTTCCTGTGGGAACAGGTAAGTCAGAAAATGAAAAAGCAGAGCAGATTCTGCAAGCCAGCAGTGAGAAGTGCTGCTGGGATCTGGTATTACAAGCAATGCCTATGAATGCTCAAGAGTGTTCCCCACTTTCTTCTTTGTGGCTGGCAAATGCTGAGTTTGTAGCGTAGCATTTCTTCTGGAAGATTGCTCTAACTCTTCTGAAGCCTAGAAACCATCTGATTTAATTTATAACCTCAATTTGTATGGCTAGTTTTTGTGTACTTTTTCTTGTACAAATGTTGGTTCTTTACCTTATTTTCAACAGCTACTTTTCCTCCACAGATTTTACACTCATTTTCTGAGTTAGAATATTTTCTCCTAGATTTAACTTTGTTTGGCTAAACCACTTCAGTTCCTCTAGACTCAGATTGCAAGTTCTTAATTTCTTTTACAATCTTAGTATCCCCTATTGCCCTGTGTTGCAGTCTGAGCTTTTTTTATAAAATAGATTCAACGCTGTTTCTAAAGATCCTTTCACCAAGTTCCATTACAATGGCATTAATAGTCTTCATCTCTTTTGGAGGCTCCTCAACTACTACATTCTAGGATTACATTTGGTTTTCACGTTTGGGGATTGTTGTCACCTTGTAATTGAATAAATCAACCAATTTTTAATCCATTACTTTTATTTTCAACTGATGAGTTTGCAGCTTTCTGCAGGATTTGAGCATATAATATTGCAGTTTGCCCTCATAAAATCAAATTACACTTTTAAGCAAAAGAAATATTTATAGCATGTGGTCTCTATGTTTTGGTCCCCATCCTCTTCCCCTTTTACAAAGAAGTTTTTGAATCTAATATTAAATTTGAAACATATTTCATAGAGGGTTGTGGTCTTGAACATAATGAATTGACATGAACAATTTTTGTTCGTGCTTGTAGTCTGTGCTCTGTAGTTTCTTTGCATGTTTTCAGACATGTATCAGCTGTAGCAAGACATTTGCTTTACTGCATTGGTATTTGAGCTCTGGCTTATTCCCTTGGTTACATTCAGGCATTTCTTGCTGGATGACAAGGAATCTTGCTTTCTTATATCAGTTGTCACTGAAAAATAAGCACTTAGGAACTCCCTCATTTACCTAGCACAAGAGTATTAATGGATATCTTGGAAGAAAATTTTGCCTGAAAGCTAAAACATTAAGTAATCATTTAAAGAAATATGAAAGTACTCTCTTGGTGCCCCAAAATCAGTGTGCAAAAAAAAAAAAAAATTGCAGGCAATAAAGCTGCAATGTGTTCTCAGAAACAGCTCACTCAGGAACTGCATCCACCCAGAGATGGCATTTGCACCATGTTTGGCTAATTCTGTAAACTAGTAGTAGTAGTAATTTATGTAGGAATGGTTTTTTTTCTGTTATTTTTACATTTTGAATGTAAAAGACATTTTATAAAACAGTAGGTGAGATGTTTGCCAGTAACAAAAGATGAGATCATTTCTTACTGGCACAAAGAAATGGGGAATATGAAGAATTTGTTAACATGGAGAGTAAGGCAAGTGGAAATATTTTTTACAATCTAAAAGTTGCAGCCAGAATGTGCAAGCAATTTTTATGTATATTTTTCCTCACATTATTATAGAAGAGGGTGTAAATTATTACTGTTGAAGCAGAACAGTAACACCTATTGTAAAAAAAATTGTAGAGCTTATGCAAAATGAAAAAGGTCAATCATACCAGCTAGTCCTCCTGTTAAACAGCAGTTTAGCTGATCAGCTTCATGGGCAGTTTGTCAGGCTGAAAATCAGCAGAAAACAATGTAGTATTCATCAATTTACTTTTATTGTTCATTAGCTTGCCTTTCTTGCAAAATTTATGTATTTTTTTCATTCACAGAAAATCCTGAAGTCCTACTGTTTTGATTTAAAGGGTGTAACAATGCTTTTATTTCATTTTGTATCAGTACAAAAGCACCATTTAGGTGCCTGGAGTTCTTAACAAGGATTTTTATGCATCTTAATTGCTGGTAATCTGTTGTTGTTTCTTGTTGTGTTTTGGATTTTGTGTGTGTTTGGTTTTTTTTAACTGGGGAGTTTGCTTTGTGGAAAGGCAGGGTTTCAGCTGAAGAGGTGATGTACATGAGAATGCAAATTACAGCAGAGGACATGATGAATTGTTAATGTCTTTTCTTTAAGCAAGATTCTATGGAAAAAAATGTTTAAAACCTAATCTTTAGAAAGAAAAGGATACTGCTTTTTCACCCAGTCTCTAGTTTCTGTGTTGTGTTCCCCTACTTATATCTTGTTTACTGAGTAATTACTGCTTCAAAAAATGACAGATTATTTGCAGTGAGGATTTTTCAGGCTTGGACATTGTGCAATACACCCTCTTGGGCCTAGAAATTAAGAAACAGGAAAGGACATTTTTCAAATGGGACTTCATGCAAGGGGCAGAGGTGTGCAAGGGTGTGCATGGGTGTCTGGCAAAGAAAGAGTTACTCAAAAATCTTCAAAGAAAATAAGGAAGGACAATATTTTGGTTAATGAGTGATAGATTGACAATATCTGCACAGTTATTTTCTGAACAACGACAATAACAGAGATTCTGCTGCTCTTTTTTAGCAATGGCTTCCAGATGGGATTCATGTTTTACAGTCCAAGATTGAATGTGATTTAATCAGTTTCTATCAATAAAAAATAAAATATTTCAGAATGTGAACTGTGTTAGTAGACTTCCCTCTATTTGTGGGTGGCCATTTATTCCCTTTTGTTGGTTTCTGTTTAATACTACCCAGGATTTTTGAAGATTTTTGAGTATAGTTTGAAAGAAATTATCAGTCTGATGTAATAACGAGGTGACTGTAACAGTGTTTGTTGCAGTAATATTTGGAATACCAGGTTAGAAGACTGTGGTTTTGAAAGATGCAGCAAATTCATTCATTTCTTTTCTTTGTAGCATTGAAAAAAAACCAGGTCAGGTTATCAGGGGCCTTAAGATAGCGGTATGTCACTTCAGTGAAACTTAGGGGTTTTTTTCTGGGTTTATAATACTTAGTAGGGAATTATTACATTCAAAGATTTTACTTTCTAATCCCTAAATTATCTTTTTTGTATCATCGGCTTAAATTCCTTTTTCATGTAATATTTTGCCTTGAAATTTTTTTGCAAAAAAATATGTGTGCCTAGTAATACTGAGGGAGAAAGCTTTGGAAAAAGCTATTCTGAAGCAGGTTTTTCTAAGTATATGCCATATTTTGCCTATATTTTTCCAGGGAGAAATAATATCTATGCCTTTTCATGTACAGATTAAAAGCATTTCCTTGAACTAGTTAATTGTTCTGACCTTAATAGTTTAGCAATTCAGTATCAATAGAAGCTACATGTGTCTTTTAAAACTTGCTTATTGGTGAGCTGAATTGGTTTTGTGAGTAGATTATAACTACAAATTTAAAACAGTTTCTGTGCAGCAATCAGAAGGATATAGCAGCCTTTTAAAGCTTCAGTGTAAATCAGGCATTTTCATTTACACAATAAAAATTAATGGAACTTTAGCAGTGAAACTTTTCTCCAAAGTAGTAGAGATTTAATTAAAACAAAACAAAGCAAAACAAAACAAAATCAAAGCAAGGATATGTATCCAAAACATGTGTGCCCAGTGTAATGGATTAAGTGATAGCCCTGCAAATTGCTCTAAGCTGCATGTATCCAGAAACACTTCGCACCTTTGTAATTTTGAAAGGAATTCAACTTTCTGGCAAGTAAAAATAGAGAATTATTTTTAAATGTATGCAGAAAAACTGCTAGCTACACTTATTAGTTATAGGTTCAGCTTGTGGTGCTAGACATTTACAATAATTTGACATTAAAAGCAATACTGCAGACAAAAAAGCATGTCTTGTACACAGCGGACAGTGTTTTCAGCTTTCAAACATAAATCAGCATTTTTAGCTTTCAAACATAAAACCTTTGCAAGTGAATGTTACTGACGTGCTCAAATGCCTTTTGCTTTCTTAGTAGTTTCTATAAATTGCCTCCTTTTTCAAGAGGAAAAAGGAAAAAAGGATTGAGCTGTTTGTTTTGTGGTGGGAGTGTGAAAAGGAGATTGTTTTAAAATTAGAAATAGAATGTCATAAGTAGTCTCCAGTTCTGAATTTCTTTTCCTAGAGGAAAAATGAGAGTTATTGGTGAAAAGCATTTTGGACTGTAATGTGGGGATATTAATCAGGAGAGAGTTTGACTGTTTCTCAAAGAGCAGATTCTTGCACGAGGTGTGAATATGAACACAAAATTTCATTATATGGTTAGAGAGAAGGTTAAAATACTTCCCAGTTATTCAGCTGCCTGTTATTACTCTGGTAGCCCATTTCACTCCTTAGGTAATCACCAATAGTAATTCTGGATAATTCCCTGCATAGTTTTTACAAAACTAACATAAAAATAAAAGCAAAAAAAAAAGTATCATTTTCCCTCTGTTATATAATCAGAAAGAAAGCCAAGACTGACATCAGGGAGTTTTCTCTTCTTTGTAGGTCATTTCAAGGCAGAAATTCAAGTACCTTGGAGCAATCACTGGTTTTGAAGAGACTGCTTCTATCATTTATGGTGGTACAGTAATATTATATGGGAAAATGTGAAATTGTGAGAGGAGTGCAGGTCAGAATAAAGCCAAATTGCTACAGGGTTTGAGCAGCAATTGGCTGTAAAATTAATATGGAGCAACAGTTGGATGTTGCAAGGTTGAGCATTAATCCAGTGCCTGGTAGAAAAATAATATATTTATCTAAATTTCTGCTTCATAGTGATTGCACTGTGTGAGCTATTAAACAAAGCAAAACAAAAAACCAATTCTAAGTCCACAGAATATGTTTGATGAATATGACATCTTCACTCAACTTGGATGAAAATGAAGTCCTGCATGGATGAGAACAGTGATTATAGCTCCGTTCCAAATCCTTTTACAGTCAAACTTCAATCTGGGGAGGAAAGCTGCCTTTTTATCAAAATTATTTTTATTGAGAGAAGCAGAAATGTGTGTTGCATATACATGTCTTCTTGCATAGTGTACATTCTGATACAGTTAATTCAGCCAATTTTCTGGTATTGTTCTCAAGATCTGTGCCATGGATATTAGAGTCCTCCATATGGGTACATTTTTCCTCTGATTTTTTTCCATTTCTTTTTCTGGTAATAGCGGTATACATTCAAGTATTTTAATTTAAATTTAGGATCATTAAGGCTCTTCTGGAGGATCTGGAGCTCTGCCACAGTTAGGTAGTTAGGTATTTTATTGTAGAAGGAATTCATGTAACTCATAGGTTTTTATATTTTAGCTCAAGCAGAGATAGAGATTAAAACTATCTAGTTTTTAAAACTCTTACTTTTCTATCCAATTTATGCATAAATTAATATTTTAGCTTATTACAAGAGCTATTGATTTTCAGCAAGCCTTCAACTCTGAATGTAAAATTTGGGGGCTGAAGCAGGCCACTTCTTCAAAATGCATATATATGTGCTGTGTTTAGATTTGGGATGAATTACATTGAATAGTTTGAACATCATTTTTTCCTGGAATATCAAGTTATCATGTACTGCTGTGGTATTGAAAAGGTTGCTGATTATGATGCCAAAAGACTGTCTTACTAAGAAGCTTGAAATAATTTCTGAGAGATGAAAAGAGATTCTGTCCCTCCTGGAAAATTGTATATGGCGAGACTTTAGTATCTGCACCTGTGGTCATCGATGAATTTCTGTCATTGATTTCATGGGATGAAAGATTTGGTTTATTAACAGTACTGTCAGAAATCAGGCAATAAAACTTCATTTTTTCAGAGTCTTAAAAAAATGTAGGTCCTGTGACACTCTAAAACATATTTTTGTTATTAATGACATTTTTCTTCTTAGATTTCAGTGTGAAAGGCTTGTGATCTGTTAGGATTTTGGTAAAGCCTTTCACTCTGGAAATAAGGATGCCAAAAGTCAGTAGAAATTAGGCTTAAGAGACTGAATAAATCTACTACCAATTAGCAGTTTGCTACTGCTGTCAGTAAATTAATAAAACAAACAATAAAAGCATATTTGACCATGGCAAGCCTAAACTGATGCTCTTTAGTGATTCATTTATTGTAGCCTTTTGATGTTCTGGTTCAGTAATACCACTGAATTTTAAGCGGTGACATTTAAGAATTTAAAATGTTTTATGCCATTAAAATGAGTATGTGCGGAATAAAATTTGAGGATCTGCACATTTTTATGCAAGCAGTCTTCTGCATCTACTACAAGCTGTGCTGTGCTGTACTGCACAGTAAGTCCAACATGGAAATTGGTGCCAAAGCTGGCTCATGGACTGGGAGCAGGGTAGTCTATTTGTGCAGTGCTTTGTCAAAGCTAATTTACTTTGCTAAAAACCAGGGTAAATTAGGCAGTGTGCAGCATTAAGCAATGTGGTTAAACTGCTTCCAGTTACCCGAGCTGGCTCCTTTTGAGCTGCTCTGGGTGTCTCTCCACACCACCGTGCTGTGCAGCACAGCTGTGCCCTGACTAAAACTGATGTGTGTGAAATTTTATTAATGTAAGGAAGGATTGATGAATCATACTCATCCTCTCTCTTCTGCAGAAATTCAGTCCTCAAATACAGGCAGAATGTACAACTAAGCATGTTTTCAAATAACTACAGTATAACTGTCATTCCATTTGACCTCAGAAATGTGATTCTCTGGGTAAACACAGAAAATGGAGGCACCGCAACTGATTGTAATTAAATATAAGTAGCTAAGCACAGATCTGTGGTATAAATAGATGTGTTATGGCTGACAGTTAAAGTTTGAGTTCAGTTTACGTGTGAGCCTTTGCATTACTCATGTAAATCAATGTTCTCACTTACAAGAGAAACCTCATAATTTACCACTACCCATAAAGTAGCCTTGCTGTAATCAATAGTGATTCCTATATGGAATTACTGTGCAGAGCAACCTTTCTTCTATCCATATCCTAGTATGATTACTGTATGGTTTGGCACCAAGACAGAAAAATATTCAGTGAGCTCAGTAGTTTTCTGCGTGGAAGGACTTAGTTGTCCTAATTTGGTACAAAAATTCTGTTCAGTTTAAAGTAAGCTAAACTGGAATTAAATACTCCACATGGGGAAGGATTGAGCAGAATCTTCAGGGGGGTAAATTGTTTGCAATCTTACTCTATTGAAACTTTACAGTTAAACCCAGCTTTATTTTATTCTCTGTAGAAGTAGAATACAGTAATTAGAAATACTTGATGTTGTTTGCTACACTGCTAAGTGTAAAGGATGATCTGGAGATGTCTGCTTTTAGTGATAATTCTATATGCTGTGTTTGAGACTGAGAGCAGACCATATTCAAATACATATCAAAACATTTTACAGCTTTCAGATTCTGTGAACATGCTGCACTGCACACACAGACATGCTGTACTCAGCTCTTTAGTCTGCAAAACAGGAATGGTGAGTGTGGAGGGGTTTCTGAACCCCTCCACTTCTTTTTGCAGCCTGGGGGTGCCTGTGTGGCTGCGGGGCTCTAAGGCACTCTCCCAAGGCTCCTCATGGAGCCCCAGTCCCTGTCCAGGGGGATTTCCCTCTGTCACACAGGCTAGCTTTGCACAGCCAGGCAGGGACTCTGAAGCATGTAGGAACTCATCTCCTCTGTAACTCACCACTTTACTGAACAACTCCACAAGGTCTCAGGCAATTGCCAAGCACCTGGGAGCCCAGGACATGAGTGAGATCCATCCTGGAAGCAGCCAGTGGTGTCAGTAAGTGGTAGATGTGCTCAGGGTACCTGCACTGCCTCAAGGGTCCAAGCCCAGACTTCTCTTTTAGTGGGGTTAAAAGAAGCTGAAGATAGAAATTGAGAGTTCCATGTACTCACAGAAACCTGAGCTCTGGACTTAGCACAGTGACAGGAGCAAAACAATGGAGCCAAGTGAGTTCAGATTTTACAGTCAGTAAAGCAGAGATTTTCTGAATCACTTTTGTTGACTTGTATTGCCTGAATTCCATTTTTGGTGCCTTGTGTACATCCTGAGTGTATAATCTGTGTTCCAACAAAAATATAGGTTACATCTCAAACAAACCAAATCTAGAAAATAGGTGGATTTCCACTGTAGTATGGAAGAAGTAGTAGGATGTAGTTTGTAGTATGTAGTGTTTCTGATTACTAACGTTAAAAAAAATCCTGTAATCTTCTAGTCACCTATGTAACTAGCACCTCTGGTGGAATGGAGCATACCTCTTCCGGTTACATAAAACAGGCACTCCCAAATGTATTGTTTTAAAAACCTGTGATTAATGAGGGGGGGAATTGAAGAATTTTCCAATAAAATATGGTGAATATGCAAAATAAATAGCACTCCAAAAGAGCAAATTGTACTTGTCCTTGGCACTGAATTACAGCATTATTCTCAATGAATGAGAATATTTAAGATGACAAAACTATACTACAGAAATCTGTAAAGTTATATGCTTTCTTGTACTCCTTGTTCCATTTCATATATGCCTTTGCCTGTCTTGATAGAAGGATGGCTTCCATACAAAATTCATTTTTTCATGTAATGAAAATGTAATGATGCATAAGATCCACAATACAAACCATCATGTTTTATTTTGTGTGTAAGCAGAAGAGTAAGTCTTCATTTCAAGAAGTATCTTCCCATAATGTGTCCTATCGTCCTTTTCAACTTTTACCAACAGAACAGTGTAGTCTTTTTATTCCTTTTAGCTGTACTGTTAAGCTTTTTTTTGAACCTTAAGACTATGGGAGAACACAGGTTACTGAATCTCTAACTTTGCACATGGCCAGTAAAAGCATACAAGTATTCACAATATTGCTTTAATAGGCACTTCTTCAGTAACTGCTCTGTGATGCAATAACATTTCCGCTTAAAAAGATAAAGAAGAAAGATATGGATAGGCAAGTGGTGAACAGTAACTTTACTACTTCTCAGCTTAGCAGATGTATCTGAAACTCAGCAATTGCTCACAAGTACTGCACCTGTATTTAACTAGAAATATGCTCTTATTTTAAGTACAGGAAAGGACAAGTTTAAGAAGGACAAACCCCTTCAAGCTGTTCTTCAACACAGAAATTGAAGTCACGAAGATTTATCTTTGTAATCCCTGCCTCCACTTTGCTTGCCTGCCTCGTTGGGATGTAGGCTGCCTGCTTTCTCAGTGTTCAGCACAGCTCCCACTGCCTACAGTTTGCAGTGGCACTTCTACAAATTACACTCCTCCGTACCAAGCACCACGAAAAACAGAATTAACAACCACTGTGCGAAGGGACTCGTATCACACAGGAAATCTGTGGCAAAGGCAGGGATATGACTTGGTTCCCCAGAGCTGCACTCATGCCTTAATCATGAAAACATGTTCTCCTCTCTGCAGTTGTCTGCTTCATTCACTGTGTCCTTCCAACAGCTGCAGGAGTACAGGTTGTACAGAGCACATTCCCTGTTCCTGTGCCGGGATTCGTCCTCCAGCACCGGTTCTTTCTGCGCGCTACACAACACGGGAGGCCGCGGAAAACTCCCTCTGCCCAAAGGGATCTCACACAGTTCCCTCTGCCCCACCACCAGCACAATCCACCAGAGCCCTGGTCCTTTTTTCTGCCTCTTATGCCACCATGAGAGTTGGGTGCATGGGAGCGATGGGATTCCCGATCCAATTCCTGCATGTAATCAGGCCCGGCTGCAGCTGCAGTGAGCGGCAGGATCAGGGAAAACTGTTTTGAACGCCAGTAGCCCCAGGGCTGGAGCATGCCCAGATGTTTCATGGAATGGCTCTGGCAGACCAGTCGCACACAGGTGTTTATTGGCTTGAAGTAAAAGTCAGGAATACCAGGAATAATTCATCCACCACTTGGCTCTTCAAACAGAAGAGGAACGAGCACAACGTGCAAATCCAAAGGGCAGATAGCGGCGGCTCTGAGCTGACACACACACGCACGCTTCACCCACGGAGCTGCTTGCAGGATGAACTTCTGATTTTCCTGGAACAAACTCATTTTAGTTATGAAAACTGATTATGCATATTGTGAAAGGCATGCAGCCAAGCAACTGTAAAACTCTGTTTTTCACTAATATCTATCATTTTTAGGAACAAAACATGCTGCCGGTAAATGCAAGCACAAGTCTGCTTGGAAATGTGATTTGCAGTTTACTTTCTCTTCATGTTTAAAAGCTATTCCAAATCAAAACAGACCTAACCAGATCAGAAGTAGCATTGTGTACTTAGCTTAAATACACTGATTTTCACACTAAAATTACTTTAAGGAACAAAGACTCTCTGTTTGTGGCAAAAATCAAAGGAGAAATGCAAGAAGCTTTCCCGGAGAGGTTCGCTACTCCGCTCAGCCTCTCCGTGACCTGGGCTCTGCACGATTTATTGGTTATCTTTAATAAAGCCAAATCCAAGCGCCTTCTCTGTTTTGTTACTTCCATTTTAACACCAGCAGTAGCAGACAGACAGACAAAGTTTAGTTTTAGCCTGGGAGCTAAAAGAAATACTTCTAACATACATATGTGCTGTTACAGTCTGACTTATAAATGCTCAGTAGTAAAGTCAGCAAGAATTGAGCACTAAAACTGGAGAAGAGTAAATGGAAAGAGATCCTGCTGTATTTGCAGACTTGTGGTAATAAGGAAAGCACTCCTGACTGCTCTTGGAAACTTGTCATGTAAGTGAATAAGGGGAGAGGTCAGGCAGTGACAGACTGCTCTGCCAGCCTGAAATGGGGGGTTGCATCAAACCAAAAAAACCCAAAACATGCATTTAACTTAAAATGAATGTTATTAAAACAAATTATACCCATCATTCAGAAATGTAATCTGAAAGCACCGTAACTCCTGGCTTCTGTTCAGATGATGTCTGGCTGTGTATCATCCACAAAGTATCTTCCTGAATCCCCAGCACCCTGGCTTCAGGAACCGCTCTAAATCATACCAAGTTCTGATGATTCTGATGTCATTTTCTAAGCTTTAAGTATTCTTGCAAGTGACATCAATCATGACTCAACTTGGCCTCTCCTGAAATTATGACAAAGGCTCCTATTTTTAAATTTTCAGACAAATACAACTTGTATAACTTTATTTTTTTGCCAAAGATATGTCAGTTCGAATCTCGCTATTCCAAGCATATTCTGTTCTTTTGGGATACTTGTCAGCTGGCCTATTTATATCAGGTTTGTAAGAAATTAAATGTTTTTCTAGAAGCAAAATAGCAGACTTGGAGAACAGAGCTTCCACCTTGCATTATTAATAGAATTTGTGAAAATCTGTGGTTATATTGTCAAGAAGCATAGAGACTAATTGCACAGAGCCAACAATTCACTCAGCGTGGTGGTTAAAATGCATAAATGGATAAAAATGATTTGTATTAGTGCCTGCAGTCTCTTGTAAATGTCAAATACTTTCTTGACATTCTAAAACCCAGGCTGTACAGCAAAAGTGGGAGAGTAGCATTTTGTATTAATATGAAAATGTATAAAACTGATTATCCCGTTCTAGCACTCAGTATTTCTCTGCTTCATGAAGACCTTAGATGCTGATTGTAACTGGCTATACTCTTTCAATTTATCATGGCTCTCATTTTTCTTCCAGCAGAGCAATGAATATTTTACTTGAGATAAATAAATAACATTTTACTTCCTGTGAAAGAAGATATTTAAAGAGATTCCACACAACCAGTTTTCCCATTTGGAGAAAGTTGTAAATGTTCATTTCCCCCATTTCCCATGCATGGCAGTCTTGCCATTCCTGTGAAATTGCTGTTCCTCTTTTGTAAATCCCCATCCCATGCATTTATCTCTATGTATGTCAGTAGTGTAATTTCAGCTTTATACTGTTCACTTTAATCATCTTTCAAGGTTCAAAGGACACCTGGACATATCCCCATTCCCATTTTAGTCTTTAAAACATTCACTAAAAGTTCTAGTATAAAGAATTTATGATGTTTCCTTGGATCAAAACATTTGTGTCCTTACCATACATCCATCCGACTTTACTTTTTATACTCTGCTAAAGCAGAATGATCCACAGGTATGATTGAACTGACAGAAGTGTTTGTATTTTTCTAGAACAGATCACTTATATTTTGTACCACTGACATTTTACTCATTGTTCTCACTAGTACCCATATTTATTTCCAAAGAGTTGTGAAATGAAATCATCAAAAAGCTACCAGCTGCACAAGTCTTCTGAAGCCTCTGAGTCTGTCTTACACATTACAAAAACATGCAAGGCTAAGGGCTTAGAGATAGTCCAAAAAAAAAAAAAAAGAATTGAAAAGGAATATCCAGGTGGTTTTTTAACTGCAAGATACAATAAAGTAGGGTTTGGAAAGTATTACACAGAAATATAATAACAAAAACCCCCAAGATACGCCATTTACAAGTTGAGCTGTACAGTGCTGTGCCTTTGTGTGAGCTGAAATCAGTAAAGCAGACAGAGCTCACTCCACAGGGTTTATCAGACAGCTCTGAATGTACAAACATACAACTGGCAGCTTACAGGCTGCTGAGCAACACTAGAAAATCTTTCAGGGTTTAAGGTTAACTAAGGTTAATTATTCCAAAACACTCTTTTGTAGATTTCAGTAATAATTGCCTTAAGTAACAGCAATGAATTGCTGCCTCCATTTTGAAAGCACTTGGGAAATGACTTAAAAACATGTAGAAGATTTATCATGACTACACTGTAGGTGTAAAAGAAATGAAATGCTAAAAGGACAGCTGAGCAGCAAAGGGCAGGGCCATCTAATGGAGTCCCACAATTTCCATTAAATAATTCAGACAAAAAGTCAATAGATTTGTCAGCCACATGTATTTACGACCACGTTTGATGGAGCTCTGATGCATTTGTATTGAAGTTTGCTCCCAGATACTAATCTCAGATACTAATCCAAAGATAATAACCAGACAGCTCTCACACATTTGATTACTTGCTGAAATATTTATCATCTTTCCTGATTGCATCTTATCTCAAAGCCAGACCCTGAGCCCAGAGAAGTAATCAGCTTGATTCCAGGGTAAGAGCTGCCAACCCCATTGTGAGGAGTGTTACAGAAGTCAAAGGGACCACACATGAAATGCGGCACTAAGGTTCAACTGTAAAAGTCAGCAAGACCTGGCATTAGATTACAAGGTCTTGAGAGCAAAGGCATTCCTGATTTCCCAGGCATGGAAGGACAAGAGGTAAAACTCTGATACTGTTAAAGTAAAAATGAAACTTTTGTAACTTCACTAGCACTGCATGTTTATTGTGCTCATCCCCTGCCATCTCATCTGTGCCACGCTGTTAAACTGCAGGAACAATTCTGTGTGCTCAAGTGGTACAGATGAAAGTCATCTGAGGCTAACTACAGGAGGAGTTCCTACTATCACTCCTTTAGGGATTGAAGTGGTGTCAGCTCTCCGCTGATATTTCACCCTTGTCCCAAGCACATGATAGAGAAAGCAGCAGCAGCCATTAGGTACTCACAGTGAAGCAATCCAGACTAAGCACTTTCCAATAGCACAAAATGAGGCAATTTACCAGGAAGAGAGGGAGTTGCATTAGCATGAAAAATTCTAAGTTATTCACAAGATGCTAAAAGAAAGAATCATCAATCCTGAGCACTGGAACCATGAGGACCCATAAGGATTTTACCTGACGCTCATGAGCCCAAGCCAAGTTACCACTGCTGTAAGTGGAGCTGAGAGGGGAGCAGAGCAGTAGCACTGGCTCCCTGCAGAGCTCACTCAGATTTGGAATCTGGCCTCTTGTGTCTTCCACTTACACTTTGTGACAGACAAATTAGTGTACTGCGAGTGACCCAGAAGTTCCTGCAGAAAATCTGAGCATGAGTGTCTCACTGGGGGCACTTAAATGTGATTGCAGGGGCAATAACAAACACCAAATGTATAAAGGCACCACATTCTGCCAGTGGCAGAAGAGTTAACACCAGCCACCACCACCCCTCTGGTACAAAGTAGGTAAACATGAAGGAGACTCAGGATTAAAAGTGCAACCACCTTGTCAGCAACACAGACACTGCACCCACACCTGCTGGACTCCAGCAGACTCTCAAGTGTAGGCAGCTTTTAATACCACTTTCAGAAGATGATTTCTGGAAATCACAAATTCAAGAGCTACATTCAGTGACACCATGAAGGGGAAGCACGTGCAGAGTCTGCCATGAGGTGGTCAAGGACTACACACTGGAATTTGTTACCTGACACAGGGATAACACAACAGCTCCCTGCTAAATGTGGGGAAGTGAGACCCAGGGGTGGTGATGGCTCCTTCTGGTAGTGAAGAGGGAGTGAATGACACCCTGTTGCTCAAATCACCTTCCCATGCTGTTTTCACCCATAGATTGCTCATTTTTGTGCAGACTTGGAGACTTTCCAGTGTTCAGAGTCCAGCAGTGTCCCAGCTTCTCCCTTCCAGTGGTTCCTGGCCAGCCTCTCCTTTCTGCTTCACATTCCCTTTGTTAAACTATTGGCCCCTGACATGGAGAGGTTTTTGAGAAGACTGGTTAGGAAGAAAGGAAACGAGATTAAACAGAATAGGTCACTTGAGAACACTTGCAGAAATTTTGTCTTTATTTGCTTGGTCTGGTAGCTCTGGAAGATAGGAACTCCACATGTTTTATGGTTACATTTATATAACAAATAAAGTCTTTAATTACAGCAGCCCCTGCTTTCAAGGAGGCAGTAGGGAAGCCAAAGAAAAACAGAAGACTTTGCAGTCAAAGTAACAATATCTGTAAATCAGAAGTGTCACATAATCCTCTGAAAATTAAAATTTGAATAATAAAATATTTCCCCCATTTACTTAGTCACTGTGTAATCTTATCAGGGATACCATCCCTTGTTTCAAACACCATGGTGTTACCTATGGCAGCCTCTCCCGTGGCAAAGAGTGGCACCTCCTGCTTTGCTTGGAGCAGCTTCCCTGCATCTGCCCTACCGTGCCGCGGCCTCCCCCGAGCCCACGCGCTGGCTGACGCTCGCTCACGGGGAGCGCCGTGTCAGGAGCGGGGCATGAATGGAGATGGATTTGTGAGGGGAAAATAGAATTTGATCCTTCAGTTCCCACAGGGCACCACCACAGAGACTATTTTCTGTAAAATGAAACCAGTGGAGTGATGTTTTACACCACAATATCGCACAAAAGGCAAGACAGTTGGCCCAGGGATACTCCTACGCAGACAAATCCCTGTGTCTCTGGACAGGTTCATGTTTCTGTATCTGGCAAGCAGAAAATCGTAGTCAGTGTACAAAGTAGCTTTTTTATTTAAGGAACAATTAAGCTAATCCCACAAGATTTCATGTTTAACTAGGTTTGTAGTGAACAAGTTTGTAGTCTGCATTCAATCAAGTTCTTTTGACTTTCAGAAAATAGGGGCAAACCAATATATATGAAATGTAAAATTCTGAGTTTCCTGGGATGACTGAGTCCTGCTGGAGTAAAACTATACAGCTATTTGCTAAAACTTTGGTATTCTATAAGTAAAGTTCTTTCTTTGGCCTGCCCTTAATCTTCCAATTATGCAATATAAACCTGCACTTTTCATTAAAATAAACTGGTGTACACTAAAGCGCTTGATAAATACATAACAATATGTACACGTGCACACATGTGCACTCAGTAAAAGCTGCTGTTGGCTTGAAGGTAACATCAGCTGCACTCATGACAAGATGCAGGCTCTTGGCCTTCAAAATCTCACCTACTCAAAAGTGTGGTCAGGCTCAATGCTTTTTTCAGTGTGGTTTGAGCTGGGGTTGAATCCAGCTGTGGCCAATGATGATCTGAATTCAATGAAGTCAAGAGAAGACAATAATTCAGGTTCAGTTCTGGTTTTTGACAAAACAATGGTTCAAATCAATCTTTGGTTTTGGTTCTACTTCCTGCTTAACAGCTGTGTAAAGAAAAACATCTGGAATAATAACCCAGCAGGGGCTATAAGAGAGGCTGCTCCTTCATACTGTCCAGATAACACCAATAATAACAAAGCTTTCAAGCCAGTTTTCAACAACAATGAAAAAAACACAACCAAACAAGAAAACTCCTTTTGTGCCTTACAGTCAGTAGTGGCCAGGAGTGCACAGAGGAATTGGAGCATTCCTGCCTCCACTGGCACCAGGCAGGGAAATGGGCCAAGAGCAGCGCTGCTGTCCTGGCTCTGCAGGAAGGACAGACACAGCTCATGCACACGGCTGATTCCCTCCTGCAGTCAGGCTGGCTGCTGGGCTGCCAGAGTCAGGCGTTTGTGAGCCCTCAGCTGTGCCTGGGCACTGCCCAGCATGGGTGAAGCCCAGCCCGGGAACTCCAGCACTGATCCTCCTGTGAGGAGATGCGGAATCCTGGATCTGACAGCCCCCTCAGGCCAGCACTGCCTCTGTGCCAGATGGTAGGAAGAGCTGTTTCCAGTGCATCTCCTTCCCACTGCTCTGTCATCTCTCCCACTTCTTTTAGTGAGCTCCTTTGAGTCTGGGACCATGTCTTTGTTCCATGTTCATTTGGTGACTAACACAGTCCAGCCTGGTTTTGAGAGTAGGGCTCCAGATGCTGCATCAAAGTACATTTAGGGGGCAGTATAAACCATCCAGGGCAGGCAAAGCTCTCTGGAGTGGCCTCAACCCATGCTCACATCTGGGCAACTGCCCCACCATGAACGTCAGCCTTGATTGCCAAACATGACTACTCCCACTGCCCGAGGTTTAGACCAATCTTAGGGAATTGTAGTTGCTTAAAAACAAGCCAGTAATGGAAGTCTAGAAAAGGGAGAGGACACACCAGGAAACATCCACAGGTCCCACAGAGAACAAGGACTGACGCCAATGGCCATTGCCTTAAACAAGAACCCCTGAAGCCAACACTGGCTGCATCAAATTTACAACTGCTCCTGGTCTTTTTTACCACACGCTGCTCTCATGCATTAAACAGGCCAAAGGGACCTCTCAGAGCAGGTCTATTTTCATGGGACAAAACACTGCTCAGGGGTTCTCCATCTGGAAAAAACACTAGCTCTTCACTTCTGCTTCAGGAACACACCACCCCTGTGTCCACTGGGAAGGAGGTAATAAATGTCCTTGTATCAAATTTTTGATGTCTGCTTTTCAAGATCGGTTAATTGTCCCTTTCCCCCTCCTTATATAACTGGATTACTAAATTGAAACTGTGCAAGGGTGAAGAGGAAATCAAAGAATGAAATTGCCAATGACTTGCAGTTTGGTAATTTTGAGTTAAAGCTGTGATTGCTGTACTCTTGTTGCAAAAGTTAATGACTTTAGAAGTAAAGCAGCATTTTGGCCACCAGGACCTAGAGTACCCCTCCTTCTGAATACTACATTTCAGCTCCATAATTTGGACAATTTTAGCTTTGTTTACCAATGAAGATTTACTGGTGCTTATTTGTATTTACCAAGGAAGGAACAGAAACCGCAGCACATTTGCAGCCAGGTCTCTGACCTCCTGTTCAGTGGTTTATGAAACCCAAGATGCATTTTCAGGGCAGTATTTGCATTTGTAACATTCTTGGTTCATCTCTGCCATACCCACAGACCCTCCCTTTAAAACACATACCCAAATTTTTATGAGCCTGTGTATAATCCTATAGAAAGTTTGTAATATCTTTGTTAAAACACAAATCTAAATTTCATTTTAAAATTATTGGATGCCTTCTGGGTTTTTTTAGCATATTCAAGTTCTGAATATTAATATAGCTACTGAAAAAAAATCTAATTACAAAAGAAATTGTGACCTAATTTTCTCTATTTCTTATCAACAAATTTTGAGATACTGTTTGAGCCATTTGAACCCTCTTGGAAATTCTGAGGATATTTTTCTCCACATATTGAAATGTGTAGCTGACAGCTTCTGCCACTGAGTCCTCAAAAATTGGTTTAAAGAGATGTAAGTGTACAACTGAAACAGAAACAAAACAGAGTCTCAATAATCACGCATATTTACCCTCTTTGTTCAAATGTTGGATTTCAGCTACAGAAAATACCATACTATTTTACAATAGAGATGTAAAATCATTCCACAGAGTCTTCCAAATATCCAACTTGTATTTCAGACACAGATATCAAGAGGGGAAAAGTCTCCAGCTGTCTAGAACTCCAAAGTCTCTCATTTGTACTGCCATTTAACATAACACAAAATTTAAGATCAGACTTTAACTGTTTCCAAATGTTCTTGTGTGTTTTTCTGCTGAAACCTTTAACTGTTATCTAGCACTAGAATTCTTAGACAACAAATACACCTACAGTCTCCCTTTAATTTTGTGTTCAGACATTTTTCTGTTGAATGCTTGGTATCATACATTAATCATGGTAATATATGATAAATACATAATGACTCTGAGAGCAGAAGGATCTAGGGCAAATTTCAAGTACAAATCACTTCAAGCACTGATATACAGAAAACTCTTCATCCTGTGGGGAAATGACTATAGAGAGAGCAGTAGCAAAAATAAACTAGATCAAGTTCAATTTCAAACCTCTGAAGAAACTATTCATCCTTTGAAACAATCTCACAAAAGCTAAATATGAGCTTTATCGAAGAAAAAATTCTCCGCACGCAGTAGAAACCTGAACAGATGTACATGTGGGAAATGCAGAACAGTGCACTGAAACAAAACAGAAGGTGCTTTAAAAGCCTTCTCTCTAATCCTAGTATGTGTTAGGCTACTTCATTTTTTTTCCTGGAAAAGGTATAACACAATGCAAAAAGTAACTGAGTTCAAGCATTACTTTCTTTGAGTCCTACAAATGAGCACAACTTCCCATGGGACTTGTGCGTGGCCTAGAAGTTTATGTGTTTTTTGAAACACTCCGAGCCAACAACCTGGATAACACTCTGAGACTCTGCAAGCCCAGACAAGCTGGTATTTCAGTTTGACCCACTGATGTAAGCTTTTCCCCTCAGAAAGAAAATGGTTTATTATGGGTGGGCTACAGGAAATGATAAACATTGGTTCTGAAGAAGAGTTTGGCAATGGAAATGAAACACTAAGAGTTGTTATCCTTGTTCTGGGGTGCTTTGTTTTTCCATTTAAGATAATTGGAGCATTAAAGTTAATAGAGTCCCATGAAATAAATTACTATTCAGGCATTTCACCTTTTGAAGTAATTTTGTTCATCCTGGAGAAGAGAAAGCACTGAGGAGACCTTACAGCACCTTCCAGTACCTAAAGGTGCTACAAGAGAGCTGGAGAGGGACTTTTACAAGTCAATGTAGCAATACAACAAGGAGAAATGGCCTTAAACTGAAGGATGGTGGGTTTAGATTAGGTATTAGGAAGAAATTTGTTACTGTGAGGGAGGTAAGACAGTGAAACAGGTTGTCCAGAGATGTCGTGGATGCCCCATCCCTGGCAGTGTTCAAGGCCAGGTTGGATGGGGCTTGAGTGACCTGGTCTAGTGAAAGTGTTCCTGACAATGCCAGGGGTGTTGGAACAAGGTGATCTTTGAGGTCCCTTCCCACACAAACCATTCTATGAGTCTATGATATGTTATGGAGCAATTTTCAACAAAGAAAAAAAAAATCACCTTTAGTGGCATATCAATAATTTATTGTTTTGCATAAGAAGGTAAGATCAGATTTCAGGTAAGACATCAACCAAGGACCTGATGGTGAATTCAAGTATAGAGTTTGGTACAATATTAAAAAACACTACCCTTTGTTTACTACAGCAAACAGCTAGAACACAATAAAAACATCTGGACTTGACTGTCAAAACATACATTTCTCTAAAAACCCACACAGCACAACTTGAATATGTGGAATATTGGAAACATTTTTAGTTGTCTTCATTCCCAAATTCTTAAGTCAAAGGAACAATCCACCCCCCTGTTCCCCTTGGTATCCCAGAACAGTTCAGCACAGCTCAGGATCCATCATGGTAAGCAGGCTCCTGTCCTGTTGAAACTGTTTGACTAAGATATTTTTTCTGCCTAAACCTACTGTCATCTCTGCCTGCCTCATGGAGGGCTTTAATTTTTAGCTTTTGAAGCTAAATAATGCAATAACGTTGATTTTTAAAGAGCAATTTAGTAATGTAATTAAAACCGTTTCTGACTCGTCACAGACTGTGCACGTTTTACTCTGCTGGTTGGCTCTATGTTTTTGAGATTCCCTTTCTTCTGCAGGTGTTCCCATTCAGGAACTGGCTCCTGGCTCAGAGGGGGCAGGCAGCCATGGCTGTGGGAGCCTCCTGCCAGGATGTGCTGGGATCAGAGGGTCGGTGGCTCTGGGAGCTGCCCAGGACAGCTGAGCTGTGCTCCAGATCCTCCCAGACCACACTGACCCAGGAATGGGAAATAAATCAGCTTCAAAAAGACAGGAAAAACAGCCTGCAGGACAGCCAGAACTGTCCCTGCCAAGGAGTTTGCAGATTATTCTAGCATCTACTTCACAAAGAGAAAAGCAGGTCCCTTATGCAAGCGTTGACTGTACCCCAATGTTCCAAGACAGCCTGAGTTAGGAGCAATGCCAATAGTGTTTTAGTGAGGACTAAAGTCCCTCCTGTTGGAAATGGCCACATCCTGAGAGATGCCAAGGGTCCTCTCCATTTCTAGATATGATGAAGTCACTTGGCATCTCACAGAAAAAGGCAAACTGACCTGCTGAATTCCATATCCCCTGAAAAATAGTTTGATTTTCAGTGATTTAAAAAAAAAATAGAACATGTTTTCTCAACTAAGATAATCTCTATGCAATTAATTTAATCAACAAATTCCTATTTATGTTACAAAAAAAGTTTAAGTCCACCAGGAAAATGGTGAAATTTGACAGAAGTTACAGTAGAGCTGTTCAAGCAGAGCATCTGCTCATACTGGGACTCAGTACATCTGTAATTCTTGCATAAACTTTTCCAGACTCCCAGGGATTCTGCTGTTGTTTCTTGCATTTCATTTGTTTTATAAGACTCTAAGCCAAATGCAATGGCCCACACATTAAATACACATTTAGAATAAAACTGCAAAACCTCATGGCTTTATCAGCATATGAACTGAAATAAAATATTTACATGGAATGTTGAGCTCCATTTACAGAGACTGTTTCAAATTACAGACTAGTAATCTCTTTAATAAATGATCACATTGACAAGAAATTTAAAAACTTAACATCCCTTTTCAACCCTTTCATAAATATATAAAGTTTCACTAAATTCTTTTTTCTTTAAACAAGAGCGCTATATTCTCTTTACAGATTAACATGAAATAATGGTTTCCTGTTTGAATGCCACAGATGGGATGATCTAAAGTCAGCAAGTTCCTATAGACATTCTGTACTTACAAGACATATTCACAACACAACACACAGGTGTTACTTGGTCTTTACATCTGTACTCATTTCCTGCATATCAGTAGTAAATAAAGAAAAATACCAAATTATCTATATTAAAAATACATTCCTCTAATATACATTTGCTTAACACTGACACATCAAGTCTTAAAATGGGGTTTCCAACTGTCTTGTTTCCAGTGACAAGGATGTTTTTTACAGTGAACTGTACAGCATTAATTTATTTTTGAGTGGAGACAAAATACATGTCACTCTACTAAAAAGTATCAGTACATACTCAACAATAAAAGAATTGATCTCTTTCAACTGTTTCTCAGATGTCCAAGGTTTCTTCATTGTTTGAAAATTTCTGATGGGAAAATTGTTCTAAAGTGTGCCAAAAATATTTTAAACCAATTTAAAGGGGGAAAAATTATTCTTTACTTTGTTGCTATTCACATCACTTTGCCACTGATTTTACAGAAGTTTAATCCCAAAGACTTTGAAGTTATATACACACTAACCCACATTTTTTCCTATTTAAATAATTATTCCCATGACTTTTCTTTGTTTTGCCACAGAGCATGCCTGAAAATACTTTCAATCCATGCATGCTCACAGCTGAGTGTTTCACTGAACACATCTTTCTTTCCATGATTATGTTAATTGCAAAAGAATATTTAAATCAGTCTGTACATGTAAGACAAGGTTCACATCTAGAAAAGTAAAAACACATTGATACATAATTAAAACTATGGTGTCTTCCTCATAAAAATGTTGGTCTCTTTTGCCTGTTTCAGTTCTCTCAAACACTGAAAGGGCAATAACTTCCAAGTGCTGATGTGCTCTTGTATGGGAACAGTTATGCTTAAAACCACTGAAGTGCTGATCTCCAGCATCAATTTGTATCTTCTGCAAGCTCTGTGTTAAAAACACTCACCTTGGAGACACACAGATGATGATAAAGAGGTGTTTGGCAGTTTTGCTACACTAGTATTAGCTCACTTTACGGAGCACAGTAAATCTCTGGTTTAATCTGACTGTTCTGCCCCAAACCGTGGGCAGCAGAATTGAAGACCCAGGAAAACAAGACCAGTTCCAAGTGAATGAAGAGTATACCTGCTGCTCAGAAGAGCTGAAATCCCTCCTCCCAAGAAAGTAGCCATCAAGTAAAAGCTTAACCATGCCCAAAGTTTAGATGTTGATACAACAGCAGAGGTTTTGTCTGCCTAAAACGTTGCTATGAGTGTAGCCAGCTGACAGGAACCCAGAAGGTCTCGGTCTCCAGTCTGTCAAAAGTTGTTTTAAGCTCACTGTAAGCTGTAGCAAGGTCATCGTTGACTATCACCTTGTCAAAAAGGTGGCCATACTGGCTCTCCATCATGTGGGCAGATTTAATCATTTCGTGAAAATCTTCTTCCTAGTAAGAGCAGTGCAATAAAGATCAGTGCACAGCCAGTCCATAACAACCCTGCACAAACACTTTCCATATTAAACATGATATAATTGCTTATTTCTTATCTCATCAGGAGATGGAAACTTACCTCTAATTAAAAAAAAAAAAATAGAGATTACCATTACAAGTGATCTCAGAGAGTATTCTGATGAGTTGACTCAGCTTAACAGGCAATTCTTTCATCTCTGCCTTTGTAGTGACACAATTAGTCACTGCACCGTAATTATGGAGACATTTTCTTTTAGCAGCACCAGCGGAAAATGTTTCTAGCTGTTTACTTTGATGATACATTTAAAGTTTCATTATGTTAATCTCAGCTTGCTATTAGCACTTACAGCACAGCCCTTTTAAGAGCTTGGTAGGAGTAATCATTCCATGCCTTGTTCGATCTGGCTTAGTGGGTGTCATGTTTGGGGAGGAAACAAATCTTAGTAATTTGTTTAAATGACTTTGAGAGATGAAACCTGTCCTAACTAAACAATGGCCTGAAGGTTGCTCTTAAGAACAAACTCCTCTTACTTTTTATATACCACAAACCAAGGTTTCTTACAGAATGTAATTTCCAAACTATTCGAAATGCACATTTTACACAGATACAGTCTGTGACTATACCTGTGACTCATTTGGAAACAAAACCTAAAAAATCTTAAGTGACACCTGAATGAGGAAAAATGACACGCACTGTAAATACAGATAAACAATCTAATGATGACCAACTTTGCTGTAGATTCAATTAAAATATGATTTCATTATATTACAAGGAAGCAAGTACGTTAATATTGGGTAATGCTATTTTTTTTCTGACTATTCACAAAAACCAGCATTTGTTCCATGCTTAGATATCTCTTCTTTCTTACAATGTTCCATTTTTCTATAACATTTTAAAAACCCTGTATTTCTCTTATCCACAAATATGGGCTTTTTATTAAAGGACCATTTAATTTTTCAATTGGTTCTTTATATTTAAATTTTCCTCTAAATTTAGACCCCTTAATACAGTTGACAAAACAAACAAATTCTCCCCTTTTATTTGAACAGAAGCATCTAAGCCCAGGTACAATTTTTTTAAAGGAAATCCACAGCATTATCTCTTATAAAGATATGCTTGCACTGTGGGGGTTCTTTATTGACATAAAGTCAGAGGAGCATGGAAACTGTGAATACCCATGAGCACATCAAACAATGAAAACACCACAGTAAATGTGCAATGTGAGAGAGGTTAAGAAACAGCAAGATGCTCATGTAAGCTCTGACAAGTGCTGTCAATAAGAACCAGAGATCATCTTTATTTTCAAGGTAAACTGCTACAAAAAAACTTCTGACAAATTCTCCTGATTTACCATGTCTAATTATACTTACAGTAAAGGGTTTTGCAGTTCCCTTATCATCTTTACTTGAAATAATCTTGGCATTTTTTCTGGTTTCTCTCAAACGGTCAAGTGATGGAGGTTTTATAAATATAACAAATGGTTTAAACTCATATGTCCGCAAGTGTTTCACTGTCTGGGAAGAGGAAAGATTTTAATTAATTAGTTTATTTTGCACAATGGAATTTACTGTAATAAAAGAAACTCCCTATTGACCATAATAAACCCATAAAGCATTTCTAGGCAGTTATTTTTCATTTACTGCCATCCTGCTCTGCTGACCAGCATTGATTCATCTAAGGAGAATTTTCAGAAAGCTAAGAAAACTCTTTCTCCAGTGCCACTGGCAGTGAGAGGATGGAGGAGAAGAGCAGGTATTTAGTGGAGGAGAGAAAGTTCAACCATACACTGGCCACCTTTGGAGAAGAGATGCTCTGGCTGGGTTTAAACAAACTAGTCCAGCTCCTAGAAGCACTGTGGTTATTAGGAGCAACAAAATTCCCAGTGGAGCTGTTCAGCGGGGTTGAAAGACAAGGTCAATGAACAAAAAAATGGTTTAGAGAGGAATACTCTTAGCAATTATCCAGCCAACATCACATTTAGTGCGTTCCTTGACTCATGTCCATCCTGCATGGAAACCCTTGGCATGAACAGCCTAGTGAAACATGTGAGAGAGAATTGCTGGACTTGGTGATAACTCAAAACTATTCTGAAATTACAGTTTCAGAGACAATCTGTTGCCCAAACTAACAGAAAGATAAATGGAAATATAGGAGCATTCTGTAATTAAATCTTAAGTATTATGATGCAGGGCTTCCAATTCCTTTATTTACTGGCTGTATATTTATCTCTTTTCAGAGAGCCTTGCTTAGCTAAAGCTAGCAAGAAAAGCCACTCAACAGTCATTCAGTGCGGGATAAAGCACACCTTTTGAGAAATATTTTTTACCAGGATTCCAATATGCAATATGGGGAAGTACAAGAGTACAGAAGACATGCTTACTTACATGAGGCTGCACATCCAACAAACAAACTTTGTTTTTAGCTAGAACTGACCGAACAGAGTCTAAACTTGTTCCATAGTAGTTGTTCTTATACTCGCCATACTCGATAAACCTGTGGCAGAAGGTAAAAACAACTGAAATAATTTCCATTTTCTCCAGAAAAAAAAGCTTAGCAGTATGCTTTATAAGATTTAATTCAGAAGCAAAAATATTTTACTTTACATGAGAGTTCTACCGTGTTTTATAAAGGAAATGCTGTCAAGTACTTCAGCATGTCAATTTTAAGAAATCTTCTACTTTACTGCTTTCAAATCAGTAACACCTGCTTGTATTACAGTTAAAGAGAAAAAAGCACTGTAGTCCAACAGCCCACTAATGTTTTCCATCACCTCTTTTTCTGAACTAA